AATGGGGAGATGGGACCGGGTCTGAGGGGGAGATGGGGCAGGACTGGAGGCCAGTTGCAAAGGACTGGAGGAGGCGGAGGATGCAACTGCAGATACTACTGTGCATCTAGGAGAGCTGGGGTGTGGGATTAGGGGGCCAGGAAGGCAAATGCAGAGGTCAGAAGAGCTGAGAGGCACTTTGGGATACTGGGGGTGGTTAGGGGAGGTGGGGGTGAGTTGGATGTATGGAATTAAGGGATGCATTTGTAGAGGTCAGGAGAACTGAGGGAGTAACTGGAGGTACTGGGGTAACCAGGGACAGGAGGATAGAGGCAATTGCTCCCCTGGGCAGCTGCAGTAGTCTCCAACACCCACATTGCCATCTCAGTTGAGCTTCTCTACAGGGTCAACACCCCCCTGGGGCCAAGGCCTGTCCTCTCTCTGTCCCCAGTACCCTCGCTTCACCTTTTGCTGCCTGCCAGCTGCCACACACACCCTTACTCACACCTTGCCAGTTGGAGATCTCAGTTGGAGATACTGAGATCTCCAAGCCAGTAAAACCCAACCTAGAGTTACAGTGTCCCATGAAGCCAAAAGCACAGCCTCAGAACATCATTACTGCTGCTTTGTGGAATTGTGCCCTGATCCTACAGAATCCAGCCACTGGGGCACTGGGAGGAGGTTGGAGATGAGGGAAACAGAGGGCAAACCCTCACAGAGACACAGTGTAAACACTGATGCTGGTCCCCCTCCTGAAGTGGATTTTGGTATACAGCCCCTCATGGATCTCCCTGCAGTGCTCACTCCCTGTCCAGCCACAGGCTGGATAGGGAAACCCTGACTCAAGGTTATGACTTTAGAAATTCTTAAATTATTTTAGGTCTCAGCAATATTTTAACATGATAACCCTCATGTGTGCTGTAAATAGATGGTGCTCTCTGACAGTGCCTGAATCCATCACATGCACTGGGGTATTATCACCTCCATCCCAGCAAGAAGCAGGTTTGGAAGAGGATGCACTGGAAAAACGGCTCTTCCTTTCCTGCAAAGGCCACTGGTTTGAGGCACAGATCCATTTATTTCTAGGAGAGCTGGCAGACACATCCCAGTTGGCATTTCCTTGTGCGTTGGCCGAGCCCTGGCCGGCAGCAGCATCCCTGCCCCGCATGCGAAGGAGGGCTCTAAAAAGCAGCACTGAAGCAGGGATCATGCGATTCTGAATGTGACGACCTCCTTTTTCTCTTCTTTAGATTGTTTTTACCAAGGTTCTCTGGCACTTGTATCAATGTGCCATTATACTTGTGGATAACGAGGCAGCAACCACATGCAGCATATTAAGGAGGGTGTTTTTTCCCCTCTGTGGCTGTTTGGGGTGAGCGTGGGTGTCAGTGCCAGCCGTGCTGTGGGTCTCCCTCCCTCATGCTGGTTTGGGTAGCAGAGCACAAAGCCAAAGCGCTGGCGTGAGCTCAGGCACGCAATAGGGTGTTGCTATAGGCCAGCAAACACTGCTGTCCTCACAGAGAAAATCCCAGAATTCTAGAATAGTTTGGCTTGGAAAGGACATTAAAGATCATCCAGTTCCAACCCCTGTGCTCTGGGTGGGCACAAAATCCTCAGCTTCTCTCCTAGAAGTGCTGAGCATTGCTCTGCCAGGCTCTTCAAACACAACCAAGAAAATGGGGGGAAAACTGAGCTTAGAGACCTTTTTAAGCTGGTAAAATTGTAAATAGATGGAAATTTCAACTTCTTGCTAAATATGTATGATTTGAGCTGCAAATATTATTTTGAATCACTAATTATTGGGTTTGGCACGTCTGCAACACAATTAAATTACAGCTGCCACTTTGAATCAGCTGGCTCTGAAATTCTTAATATTGAAATCATGGCTTTTAACACTAATTTCCCTTCGTTTGAAAGCCCATCATCTATAAAATTAAATTTATTTATTTTATAAATAAAATAATAAAACATAATAAAATTTATTTATATCAAAGGTACAGCATCCAGTCCTGAGTCCTGAGCAGTGCTCAGGACAGGAGTCCTTCACTTTTGCAACCTTTACAAGGGGGGAAAGCCCATAAAATCCTCACTAAACCCGTGGGTTTCACTGCTGCACAGACAGGGGCTGCTTTGCAGCCAGGATTAGTGTAACTGTAGTTGAGGGATTATTCAGCTTCTTCACTAGAACACAGGTCTTAAAATCCAGCAAGAAATCATCACCATCCTCCTTCCTGGCTACTCTGCACAGGCTTGACAAGGCAATGCTCTGTGACCAGTGTTTGCTGTTTTCTAGCTCCTACTAACTATAATTGTTATACTATAATCATTTAATATAATATTGTTTGAGCCACTATGATTTAATATAATACATATTATATAATAAAATACCGTATAGTAAATTAGATATAGATATAGATTAGGATTATATAATCAAACATGCTTGGCATGGGTTGCTGGCTTTCCAGGCAGGTTGCATGGAGAAGCTGGACCTGACAGCACAACAGGTATGAATATTGTCACACACCCAGAAGCTGTTTCTTTGAAAAGACTTCAAATGTAACCAAAAATTCACTATGCTTTAATCTGCCTGGCAGAGGAACAGTGAGGAGTGCTCAGATACTGAGTTTGGAAAAATGCTGGCAAAAACAACTACCCCCACCATTTAAAGAGGGGGCTAATATGGCTGGAGGGAGTGGGGAGAGATGAGCAATAATATCTGCACACTTAAGTACTCCTTAAAATGAAGAATGAGATGAAGAATGAGCCTGTCTGCAGGGGCTTTTCTCTTTCACCATCCCAGGTTTGCTGCCCCAGCTGGAGCAGCATTTCTCCCCCCATCCCATACCCATTCCTGGTATGGGAGACACTTTTGGATGGGGATGTAAAGATCTGTTGTGCCAGATCCTGTGTCTACAACTAGGCTGTTCTTGGGGGAGGCAGGATCCGGCACAGCAGCTGTGTGAATAATTCCCAAGATAGACAACAAGGATCTCTGGATCTCAGGAGCCAGGTTTAAAGACATCAAGGAAAATATCACATCCTTTTATTTCACACCTTTATACTGAGGGGGCCGATGTTTTCTTTGCAAGCTCAGGCAAGTGTGTACTTGACATCCCAGGGAATTAGTCATCCCCTCTACTCTTGGCTTCTAATTAGCAACTAAAGGGGAATACAATAATTAAATATGCCCAAGGTAACGATACTTGGAAACTTTGGGTCACGTTTCAGCCAGGGAAGGCGGTGAGTAGTTGAAGCAGGTGAGTTTGAAGTCTGTGGGAACCTGAAAGACACAAAAGGGAAGGAAAGATGTAAGGAAAAAAACAAAACCAAAGAAAAAAAAAGAAAATCCAAAGTGTACACTGGGAAAGCATTAGATTGGTGAATTAAAATGATGCCTAGAGTTAAGGTGATGCTTAAAGCCTGTCATGTGGTTGCCAGCAGTGTTGAGCAAAGTGGGGGACACCTGGCAAACCCCTTTCCCAGAAGAATATGCAGGGATGCTGGGCAGCCCCTGACCCACTGTTTTTCTGCTTTCACAGGAGGGGGACAAGGTAAATTTAAGCATTTTTATTTCCCAGCCAAAGCTTGGTTGGTCCTCATCCCCTTCCTTCCCTTGGGGACTGCAATTCAACCCTCGTTAGACCTCGAAGTAATTCCCATTAACATTTATGAGAATTTCATGATCAAAAGAAGAATCAGCCCTTTCATCTTCCAGACATGCCCCAACACACATCACCTGGCCCCAAAAGCCTATCCTGCCAGGCAGGAGCTCCCACCTTGTGCTGGGGTCTCTCAGAATGCACGCCCCAAAACTGGTGGGAACTTTGCAAGGTCAGTTTACTCTCCTGGACCCAGTTCATGGCATCAATTCAGCATTTCTTCCTTTCCCTTCTTCCTAAAAATCAGTATTTAGCAAATCCCCACCCTCTCCACACTGCTTTTTCAAGGAGAAGGTAATATTGATAGCTCCACTGCAGATAAGAAATAAGGGCCAAGCCCTTGCCTGGAGCCATAGGATGAGCCGGCAGCTGAGCCCGACTCATAATCCTGGCCTTGGGAGTCCCAGCCCTAGCGCAGCCGGCTGGGTCACAAGGCGGTTCCCAAAGAGCCCACATCAAAGAGTGCTGCCGGCTTGTGAAAGCGTCCCAGGATTGCACGCCGTGCAATTCCTGCTTCATGGAAATCTGCCCGTCCCCTTCCCACTGCCAGCAGGCCCTCGCTGAAGGTGCCTTTCTATGGTTACAGACGTGATGTGGGCCATCAAGTCCCCAAGAAGAGCATTTCCTCAGGAAAATGGGACATGCCACATCTTTGCTGATGGCTGATATTGGAGAAGAACTAGCCGGGATGTATTTTCCCAAAGCTGCCATCAATGTTCAGGCAGGGAAGCAGGCATCTTCCCAGGAAGGTGCAAAGAGGGAGAACAAACAATGAGCTTAGCTAATGTCTGCCACTGAGAGCAGAACAAGTCTTTGCTCCCAATTTTCTGGGAAAAAGAAAGAAGTCTCCACAGCCTGAGGTCACCCCACTGATCCGGTTTCACTCCCAAATGTTTCCAAGGCTTTGCCTGTGAACATGGGGAGTGGTTGAGAATGGCTTCCCAGGGCAGACAAGGGGTGATTCACCTTCCTCCTCTGCCAAAGGGCTGGCAAGCACCAGCAAAATAAAACTACGTCAGCACCTATTTCCCATGTTTCAAACACTTGTTTATCATCACCAAACAATAACCTGAGATTCGGATCAAAGCTGAACTTGCTTTCTAAGCAGCAATCACTCCTAGTGCTTCCTGCTGGCTTTCAGCACTTGCATGTGCTGGATGCTTGCTGGGTGCTAAAATATTTCTTTTTCTCCATTTGGGTTTAAAAGACTGATCCCAGGTGGGCTGTGGTTCCCTGTACCTCTGAGCCCTGAGCCCGCTGAGCCCTGGCTTTTCTGCCCAGAGACCAATACAAAGGGGCAGCTGGAGCAGGCATAGCTGAGCTGCCCTTGCTGCTGCTGCAGGGTCAGGGCCACTCCTGGGTACCCTGCATCAGCATCCTGCCTGGCAAGCAACAGGCAATGGTGAGGAGCAGGGCACCCCCAGGGACTGTCCCCCAGGGTGTCAGTGCTGTGCCCACACAGGGTTCATAGTTCTGTGCATCCCTGCCCACAGTCTGTACACTGAACCATGGTGCTTTGCCAGCAGAGCCCCCCGGCTGCCTGGGATCTTGTATCTGGGTGAAGGAGGGGTCACTGAACACATCACTGCTCCAGAGGGGATGATGAGTCCAGAGCAAGTGCTTCAGGGGACACGTGCCACGAGAGAGGGACTTGTAGTAGTCTGCAGGGTCCCCAGAAGGCGATGCGCTGGGTGGCTGCACCACGGGCAGCTGGAGGCTGATGCTGACCCATTATGCACCTCGGTGTTCCCACAGGTGACTGGAGCCACGCGTCCTTCAGCAGAGAACCAGGGCAGACCCATGCCAGCTCATCTCCACGGGAGCTGGCTGCTGTGCTTCCCTCCTCACCTGCCTGGCACCAGCCTTGAGTCACTGCCAGTCACCGGCACCAGCCCTGACACCGTCCTGTGGCTTTCAGCAATCAGCTGGAGACACCCGAGGTGTCACAGGAACAGGCACCTCCGTCACACTGTCCTGAAAGCTGTCAGCTTCCTCCTTTCTAGGGAGCCCTGTCCCTGGCATGCCCATGGTGATGCTCAGCCATCACCATCCTCCCAGTGAGCATCATCTCTGGCTCTGCCTGGAGCACGGGAGCCTCATGCTGACTCACCCGTGTTAATCCACCCGGCAATCTTGGGGTAATTGCCACGGACGTGCCTGGGGACAGAGCCAGGAATCCCACGCAGAGTACATGAGAGCCAAGGGGTACAGCTCTGGTATGGCAAGGGCGGGTGAATATATTCTGTGCAGGGATACTGCTTGTTTTGTTTGGCTCTGGGGAGCAGCATCAGACCCATTTAAATGATGGAGAACCCCCAGGAAAATGGAGGGCAGGGGCCAGAAGGCAAACTGAAGCTGGCAAGACCTTGTCAAGGGGGTATTTAAACAGCAGGAAGGTGTCTCTAGCTCATCATTTTCACCCCAATCACAGGTTGCTTCTGGAGGTGGTCTGATTGGTGTGTGTCTGCCTGACAACCCACTATTCCAGTCTAATCCCAAATTAATTATAGAATGTAACCGAAATCAATTACAGAATAGACCAAGAGCAATGTAAGATCTGCTAGAGTCCTGACTCTCAGTCCAACATCACCTGGAAGATGATTTTTCTTCCTTTGTGCGGAAAGAGAGGAAAGAAACTAAAAAGGGCTGGGGTCTGACAGATGCTGGAGAGCCTTTCTTGCACCCTGCACTTTTCATGGCAGAGATTGTTTTCTTCCCTTTGTGTGGATTCCACCTTCCTCCCCCTAGGCTAGATGAGAGGGACCATTTTGGAGAAGCCATATGTCCCTGTATCCCTGAGCCACCACCAGCTGGGGATAGGGCCAATTTTTACCTGGGTGGCTTAGGGTCCCAGGCAGTGCAGGGGATGCAACAGTGATATTGCTGTTCACCATTAATCCATCACAACACAGCAGAAAGCATTTCCTTCAGCATATTACTGTACTACAGGAATGCTTGATTACTTCAACTAAGGATCAGAGCAAATGCAAGATCCCAAGGAGATGTTGCCCTTCTGTCGTGCACCAACATAGTACAGGGGAACATAGCCAGGGTGGCAGGTGACCATTTACACATGTATTTCCCATGTTTGTGCTTCCCTGCTCCCACAGGAGCAATAACATTCTTGGCACGTGCCTGGTGCCTGTCATTGTCCCCTGCCATCACACCCCAGTGCATCAGCAGCAGTGTGACATTGACACAACCACAGGGCTGGCATGTCAGGGCACTGACAAGTTGCTCCAGGGTAGAGGAGTTGAGGAAGGGGCCCATTGGCTCTGCCTTTCTTAGGCTCTTTCATACAGATTTCCCACACTGGCCTGGAGAGGCTGGAGGAGACGCTGAGTCGGGGTGCTGGCAATGCTCCCCATCAGGTCACCCAACAAGCTCCCAACAAGTCCAGACAGCTGAGTGGTAAAAATACTCCCCATGCCGCTGTTTCGGCTGGATTAGCATCGACAAACTGCCTCAGCCAGGTACCTCAGGCAAAAGCCCAGCTGGAATAAAACCCCAAGGCAAAGGAATCTCAGAGCAAGGGGCAGCTGGGATGGGGTATCACTGACACCAAGGAGTACATGGAAACAAAGGAATGAGGAGGAAGGATGCTCCATGGTTGACAATGCCTCCTGCACATGAAGTAGACTGTCCCCACACCAAAAATCTCAGCAAGCATCCTTTTTTTGTGCCTTCCCCCTGAAATGCTCACTGCGCTTTCGAGTGGGTGGGTAAAACCCGCTGGAGGAGTTGACCAGGGTGATGGCAGCTTGCCTGCCACCCTCCTCCCCTGCACACCCAGTTAATGGCACACGGAAATTAATTCAGAAGAGTGGGATGGAGCACTGCAGCCGGGAAGGAGACAGGGCCCCGAGGTGCCATGCATGGCGCCAAGGGGAGGTGGGTGCCACTGTCCTGGGGCACTGGGAGGGAGGGCATGGCAGGCTCTGGCCAGGCCAGTCCAGCTTGTTGCTGCTCCTGCTTGTAGGAAGGGTGTAGGAACCAGAGGACAGGGTGTCAAGCAGGGACTGAATCCCTGTCACCTCATGGTGCCAGCTCCCCATCACCCCACTGCGCTAGCTCTGAGAAGAGGGGACTGACATTTCCTAGCCAGTGGTGGCACTTCCTGGATTAATGTATACCCCAAATCAGATTAGCAGATTGATTTTGGCATCAATCAATCAATAGCTGGACTGTGGAGGCTCCCTGGGCGCAGCTCCTCAGCCCCCAGCCCCGTCGAGAGCAGCAACACTCCTGAGACAGGTGTAATCTGTGTGATGAGATCTGGCCGTTCTCTGCACCCATTCAGCATCTCAGCAGAGAGGGGTGGTCACCCCGAGAGCCCTCAGCAGCCCGGGGAGGGGGCGCGGGGCGATGCGGAGCCGCAGGTCACGCCGCGCCGCCCGGGCAGTGAATCAGCAGCGCCCGGGGCAGGAGCCGGGCTGAGCCGTGCGCAGGCTGCAGGGGCGGAGGTTTTGCACTCGCTCCCGTCTGGCCAAGGATAAATAGGAGGCGGCTGCGAGTCCTGCCAAAGCTTCTTCCCGTCGCCCAACGCGTCCGACAGCAGGCACCCAGCCCAGCCAGGCATGGACTCTCAGGATTGTCCTTGTGCCACAGGTAAGGCAGCGTT